ACACTACACTGAACTACACTACACTACACTGAACTACACTACACTACACTGAACTACACCACAACTACAATACACTACACTGAACTACAATACACTACACTACACTGAACTACACTACACTGAACTACACTACACTACACTGAACTACACTACACTACACTACACTACACTACACTACACTACACTACACTGAACTACACTACACTACACTACACCACACCACACTACACCACACCACACCACACCACACTACACTACACCACACCACACTACACCACACCACACCACACCACACCACACCACACCACACCACACTACACTACACTACACTACAATATTTCATTGTTTTTTACTTTATAACACTTCCACTTTATTACATACCTAACAAATGATCTTCCATGTTTATATTTTGCTACCAGTTCATCAATTAATGATTGCAGTCCAGCAGGAGATGTTGTGCGCCTCTCTGCATCGGTTGTCTGGATAACTGAACGATCTTTTACCTATAACAAAGTAAGACAGTCAAAACACAAAAATGTAATATTTAGTGTATATACTTTTCGCCAGGGTAAAAATAAAGAATTCCAAAAAACAAAATTTGCTATTCATAATCCAATTGCTATCAAAAATATATAAGAGGGTATTCAGGATATGAAGACATTGTTTGAGTTTATGTCCTGTGAATCTCAAACATTTTTTCCAGAAATTATTTATGCAAATGAGTATGTGAATTTTTGTGAGGATCTGTACAAATTCACAAAGTGTGTTCACTTTCAAATATCCACTGTGTTCTGTGATGCCATTGGCTAAAACCGATTCAACATTGTTAAAGATCCGCAAGCAGTTATTTTTTCACATACTCAACTAGTATGTAAATAGCTAGAAATAAAAAAAAAAATGGTTGATGTAAGCGCATAGTTAGAACATCTCACAAATAGCCCATTTGGCTCACCATAATTAGACTATAAAAATCAGAGAGAAATGTACATGTAGCTTAGGATCTGTTGAAAACCATGTTTACCACCAAAATCTAGGCGAAACATTTGATATGCTTTTTTTACAACTTAGTTAATTAATTTTGTTTTGTAGTTAAATTTAGACCAAATTGTCATAATTTATAATTGATTGGTACGAATCAACGTTTGTTTTCAAAAATATATGGAAAGAATTATTTTCTGAAAGGCAACACAATTTAAGTCCTGAATGCAGAGGGTTAAAGAAATCTAGTTAGCAATATTGTAATCTAAAAACAGATTAGTTTTGAAAAACAGTCTGGAAGCAAAGTAACAATTACGCATAATACAGGGAAAACAAAGCTGTAAATGTGATTTTTCAGTCTATTGCCTGCCTCAGTGAATAGTCTACCTTTAAATACATGTTTATTTCAATTCAATAAAGGACAATATAAAAGAAGATTGATGTTGCATCATGAATTACTACATTTTTGGGAAGGGGGTGGGAACATTTATATTTCTGACCTAGAAATAATGGAAGCTGACAAGATCATTTTTAAATTCAACCAGTCCTGGTTTTATGGAGCTTAAATGTAATATATATTTTGCCCCCTAGCACTAGATTCCAGACAACTTAATTATAATACAATATACAGTTGCTATATTGATGAAGATGTAAATCAATCATCACGAATCTACAGCATATGCTACAACAGTTTTGTGTTCCACGTTGAAATTGTGTTACAATTAATTGACAATGATCGATATATTGCAATACATTTTGAGAATGGTGATAAGGCAGGTTTGAAAAATAATTAATTACAGCGGCACAGCTGTCGTTTTACATCATGTTTGTTATGGGGTTTGTGCTACATATAATGTACATAGCATGTAAAATACATTGATTATGTTTATGAAATTCAAACATGCACAACTGTGGAATTACTTTAAATACTTTATTCAGTTCCCTACACAGATTGGTTTAAAGTATTTTACATGTACTGTAAATTATTTTAGCTGGAATTAATTTATGCTGAAAATGCATTTTAGGTGTTTCGTATAGAATTTATTTTCACTGATTTTTGATGAGTTGAATGTAAAATATAGAAAAAAAGTTGCATTCGCTGGATTTTATTTTCACTGAATCATCACTTCAAACGGAAATAAAGAATTTTACAGTAAACAGTTTTAATTTCATAATGGAAATTTTTGTGAATTTCAAGAAGCATGAAATTATGAAGCAGCTACTTCCGTATGTCTTTTTTGTGTGAAAATGCTTGGTAAATATTCGGCTTTTTGAAAAAAACTTTTCAGCTGGATATCTTGTGAATGCCATGCTATCGTAATCGGTAAATAATGAATATTAATTCGTATATTAAAGATTTCAATAAAAAATACCAAGCAAGTTTCATAATGGCAAATAAATAATTATGTATAATGTTTTACCTTGACTTTCACCTGCCTGTTTGGAAGTTCAGTATAGATGGCATTCCAGTCGCTGATATGCCACCGCTCAGCGGCTAAAATAGTTTCCACAATTAACATATCAGCCAATGCGTCACCAACAGTCTGTTGACGATAACCATTTCGTTAAATTCAACATGAGAAGGACGAAGAACATTTCTTTGTGGGTTTAAATTTAGGACAGAAAATAACCCCACAGAAATCAAGCATGATAATTGAACATTTACTGGAGGAAATTGAGTAATAAAAACAAACAAATACATCATTTACCTGATTTGTAATGTCAATAAAATTACTTAAATTTTCAGCAGCTTTTCTCTTCTCTGGAGCAAGACTAGTGGAAATACAGAAAATATTTTACATTGTACAAGAATTGATTAACAAAAAATAGTTTTTATTACCATTCATACATTTGTGATTTCAACTAATTTATTACAATTATGTAAAATATTGTTATAGTTATTTAGAAATTAATTATGCTTGAAAACAAAGATACTGATTGTGTCAGGACAAGGTTGTTTTGAACTTTGATAACAAATAAATACTACAAAATGTTATTGTTAGTTACAATATGGTTTTTGCTATGTTAATGCAGTATGCTATTATAGTATACTCGGTACTAGACAGAGATCCGATAAGTTGTGACAGCCCCTGGAGTGCACTTTTGGCATAAAACAGTAAGTTTATAAGTTTTGGCACTTTGTACATCATTTAAAGAACATTCAAGATAAGTATAAACATTTAAATTTTTTGGCAAAACATAAAAAATTCTTTGATATTAGCTTTGAACTTCTAGGACTTATAAGTATAATTTGCATTTGCGCTTATAATAGAGCAAATATGGTATACGAGAACACAATTTTCTTTGTATATTATTTAACAACCATGCATGGAGGACACTGTACAAGCATGAATAACTAGTTACCTTTCGTTTTTACTTGCCGCATTAATCTTCTCTTCTGCTTCTTTACTGAACAGTACCTACAATATAAACACATTCTATTGCTATTAATTTATGATGATTGTGTCTTCATTTCACTCGTGCCATGTATTAGTTTTAAAAATTAAATGGCACAGAATTCTGTGTCATCACCATTTAGCTGTCTCCAAATTTCAGTACATTACCATGGGAACTAGCATGTGCAGACTGAAATTTCAGTACATTACCATGGGAACTAGCATGTGCAGACTGACATTTCAGTACATTACCATGGGAACTAGCATGTGCAGACTGACATTTCAGTACATTACCATGGGAACTAGCATGTGCAGACTGACATTTCAGTACATTACCATGGGAACTAGCATGTGCAGACTGACATTTCAGTACATTACCATGGGAACTAGCATGTGCAGACTGACATTTCAGTACATTACCATGGGAACTAGCATGTGCAGACTGACCTGTATGTACATGTAAGGCCTGCTCATAGCCCTCCAGATCAATTCACTAGTCTATCACTATTGGAACATTTTGAAATAATTAAGGCAGCTTAAAAAGGTTAATCAAGGGTCAATCCGAAGTCAAATTCACAATCACATTCACAACGTAACCAAGGTTACTCTAAAAAAGCATCTATTACTCAATGAATCTTGGGCTGTTTGTTTTGCCTTCTCACTACTTCAGAGTGAGGGTCATGTATGTTTTGTGCAGTTAGAAGAAAAACAAAAGAATGATAGTTGATCTTCCCCCATTTACTCACAGTTCCGTGTCCGTTTGCTTCAAAGTATACACCAATATCATAGTCTAGTGCTCTGTGATGGAGGTGCTTGACACCCGTCGCAACGCAAGCAACTGGCACTTTCTAAAAAGTATATAAAACAGTTATTATGGTGGTGAAATTTTACTTTAATACTTTCAATACATTACTGTTTGATGTGTGTCCCATGTGATGATTGTGACGAGTGTACATAGCTTATATATTCCCTGCAAGATTTTACTTGAAAATCCAACAACAAACATTTGGTAATCCAAACTAATTTTTATGTATTTTAAACATACACTGAAAGTGCTCCTGTGTGTTGGTTAATTAACTACATGTAATAAATACACCACTAATTACTAAAATACAAAATTAACAAATTGAAAACAGTTAATTAATGACGACGTCAAAAGATCAATGTCGGATAAAAAACTTATTTGCTTTAGTTTGGGGGTGGGGGGTTTTGACCTCAAAAAGTTTCCATTCTACAAAAACGATTTTATTTTTTAATGAAGTAAAAAAAACCTTGGACTATTTGTAGTTCGTTTTTTTCTATCCAATCATAGACAAAAATAACAGAAAATGAAAAAAACAAACATCCAAGACGAGAAAATGATTTGGTCCGAGTGTAAATATGTGCATCAAATAAGGTCAATTTCAGGGCATGGACCTAGAGCATGCGCAGAACCCAGAAAAGTAGTTTGCGCATGCGTATATTCCGCGTCATTATTACAACCAACTGCTATGCCATACTGCTGTCCGATTATCAATTTGTATTTAATGGTGAATGTAGTCTGACGCCATGATCAATATTTATCAATTAAGTTTCAGTGGGGGGTTTTGGGAAAAAACTAAAAGAATTAAGTTTTTTATCCGACATCGATCTTTTGACGTCGTCCCTTAATATGTACAAAATATTATCATACAATCAACTGTACAATTAATATGCATGTACCAAAATTTAATCCACAAAAACCAGCACTGTGACACAGAATAAACTGAAAACAATTTATAATTATGCAAATTAGCTTATTAATATACACAGATAATTCAAAGACTATTATCGGATCTTCGTCTACACAAACACTACATGTATTCATGTAAAAAGATTCAAAGAATTTGTGCAAACTAGTACATGCTAAACAAACAAGAATATGCTAAAACTTCACTTATTATGCAAACAACCTAATTAATATGCACAAATAATTGAAAGACTATTATCAGATCTTCATCTATACTATTGCATGTAAAAAGTTTCAATGCACAAACTGGTGCAAAGATATACAAAGAATATGCTGAAAAAAAAACTTCAATTAATATGCAAACAAACCTAATTAATATGCATAGATTTATACCATGGAAGCTGTATGCAAAGTTTCTTTCCAATCCACTCTGTGGCTTTTCAGATAGATCAAGATTTTACACACACAGATTATGAGAAAAACATACAGGTGGACGGACATCGATCGGATGACATTACTTCCCATTTGGGCTATGCAATAGTTAAAAAAGGCTGCCAGAGTAAGATTTAAATCTACTGAAAATTCAATATTTACACAGAAACATAATTTATTTGATGGAACATTTGGCTTGACATACCGGTAATAGCAGGAATTTGCACATTGTAGTGCTGCATTGAAACTAAACTGAAGTGAAGTGAAGAGTGGTTTGTATCGCCACAGTTGAGGACATTTGAGAGTAACAGTGCCCTCTAGTGGCTGAAGTGAAAATACTTACTTTGGAGGTAGAAACAAATGTCAACAATACATATCATTTTAAACTAAGATACTTGTTATTTTAGTTGTTTTACAAAAATACATTTTTGTCACAGGAGCCTTCTAAAGGAACTAGCATATTAAACATTTTTTGGGAGCATTTTTAAGAAATATTTCTTCAAT